CACATTTTTTTTGACAAGAATAAATACTTATTTAGAATCTGGAAGTGAACTTATAACTGAGTCAAATCTAAAATTTCAAGAAAAGCTTTTAGTGGTTCTGCAAAACAACTATAATTGAATCCAAGAAAGACAATGTAGAGCATTTTTTTGAAGTTACAGGAGTAAATTTTCTGATTTCCAGGCTACATAAATAAATAAGTTTGTATGTATAAATAATAATAATAATAAATTAATATAAATAATAATAAATACATTTTGGTTATAGCACAATATACCAAGGACAACTTTCTGTTTTTTTAATATGCACCCGAGGTTATCTATTACAAGTTTCCAGCTCTTGAATAATGTGGAGACTAACAGCTATCTTCAGATCCCACAAAGAAGACTTTGATTTCTTCTCTCAGCTCTCATTGTGAATGTGTCAGTCTTGGACGTGTGACCCCATGGGCACCTGTCCACTGTTTTCTATGTCTTGTCTCTAACATCATGGATATGTTTTTGTTTTTCCAGACTAACAAGGGGGATGAACTCTCCAACCGCATCCAGAATACGTTAGGAAATTACGATGAAATGAAAGACTTTTTAACCGACAGATCCAACCAGAGTCATCTTGTCGGTGTCCCCAAGCCGGGTGTTTCTCAGACTCCCGTGAACAAGGTAGATGAACATTTTGTGGCTGAGTCAAGATCCCAGCCCCAGCCTTCATCTGTCTGTAGCACTTCATCTTCCACACCTGCAGCTGTCCCTGTGCAGCAGAGTAAGAAGGGCACCATGAGCTGGCAGAAGACTGGGCACCCACCATCCGATGGCCAACAGAGAGCAGGTAAGGAGGGGCATTAGGCAGTTGCTTTATGCAGATCTCAAAGAACCACAATGAAAAACCTATTCACTGTGTATGGAGTCTCTCATCCTCATCATCACTGCCTTCTTCTTCCAACTCAGCACAACAGGGCTCTCTCAGGACCTTGCTTGGAGATGGTGTTGGCAGACAGCAGACAAGGGCCAAGCAAGTGTGCAATGTGGAGGCGGGGCTTCAGACCCAGGAGAGGCCACCTGCAATGGCAGCCAAGCACAGCAGCAGTGGACACTGTGTTCAGAACTTTCCTCCATCCTTGTCTTCAAAACCCAGCCTGGTCCAGCAGAAACCAACAGCATACGTGCGGCCAATGGATGGCCAAGACCAGGCTCCTGATGAATCTCCTAAGCTTAAGTCATCCACAGAAGCTGGTGTGCACTGCACATCCTACAGAGGGGTCCCAGCCAACAAACCAGAGTCAGCCAGATCCAAGGCCAAGCTCGCTAAGTTCAGCATCCCCAAGCAAGCAGAGGTGAGTCCATTCTCATTGCAGTTACATGCAACTAAATAGTAGCATGACTTGGAAATGCAGTTTTCATATTCCTCTCCCTCACACCTCCCCATTGATGTGGTGAGATTTGTAGTCCTCAGACAGAAGTTATAGTTTTTAAAATTCTCAAATTCATTATACTCGGATTATCTTACGTACTGAAAATATATCTACACATATATGTATGAATGTATTTGTGTTTATGATGTGTAGGAATTACTTAGGGAAGGAATGCCTCCTTTGGTTGAGTTCATGAAGTTTCATGAACAAGATAGTATTGACTAAGATATATAGTAGCAACATAAAATACTTCAAAGGCTACAGTTCAGCTTTCAAGGAGGTAGAGTTGTTCTGTAAAATAGTATAGAACTCTTAACACTTTTATCAATTTTGAAAAGTTTTATGATAAACTTCTTAAAGGAAGTCTCATAAGAATCTGCAAAGTATTAAATCAACACTGAGTCTGCTTGATATTCCAATATATTAGCTATCCCACTCACTTTATAAGACTTGTGATTCAGGTACATTCATATTAATTAAACAGAATTCTTACTCGGGCTCTTTGTATGACATGAAAATGTTCAGCTATATGAGCATATTCTCAGAATGAATGAAGTATTCCAGTTCATACATACTCTCCTGGTTTGCATTTTGACTTTGTTGTAGCACATTTGTTCATTGCATTACACAATGTGTGGAGTGGATGCATTGAGTGTGAGAAATTTAACAAGCCTGTCTCTTGACAGGTTGTGGGAAAGGCAGTGACTAGCTGCTTGAACAGTGAATCTGAATGGAAAACAATCTTTTTAAAGTGGCATGTCTCATACCATATTCCAAATTGATGATAGTTGTCAAGAACACACGAAGAGGAATTACGACTGTGCACATGTGCTTTTGTTGTCTCTCTGTGATGTAGCATAGGAGCTGAAATAGTCTTTCTTTAACACTGTTCTTAGGAACTGCTAAGTCGTTTTTCCCTTTGACATGTTCTTCTTTAAAGATGGAAGAAAAATGCGACCAGAGTGTTCTTTACATCTTAATTCAATTTAATAACCAAAGGAAACAAAAGATTTGGCATTTCCTGTTGTGTTTTTGACAAGGCTGAGCATAGCATTTCTGTGCCATCATCTTGGAATTCCCCATGGGCCATTTGGGAGATAACCCTGTTACCCAGAGACTGTCACTCGAGAAGAGACTGTCTTTTGCACTCCAGGAGGTATTTACTAAGGTTTTAATTAGGAAATGTGATGACGTGCACCAGTAGCTTTTTTTGATTACACATTTATGATGTACTCTAGCAATTAGGAAGCAGGAATCATTAGAAATAATGGAAGCAAAATGTAATTTCTCCAGGCATTTAAAAAATAATTATTTTGCCGGGCATTGGTGGTGCATGCCTTTAATCCCAGCACTTGGGAGGCAGAGGCAGGCAGATCTCTGTGAATTTGAGGCCAGCCTGGTCTACAGAGTGAGTTCCAGGAAAGGCTCCAAAGCAATGCAGAGAAACCCTGTCTTGAAAAACCAAAAAAAAAATTTCATTTTTATTTTTTTAATTATTTGTATATATGTGTGTATTCATCTGTGGGTATATACATATGAGTGTGGGTACCAGTAGGGATCAGAGATGTTGGATGCCTGGGACCTGGAATTACAGGTACTTGTGGCTTCCTGACATTGATGTTGAGAATCAAACTTTAAAATAGTAAAACATGTTCTCTAGGCATTGTTTGTAAAAGTTTGTAAGAAACACAAGGATACCACCATATTGGACTGAATTCCTCAGGATCTTTGGTTTTGTCATTGTTATCAAATAATCTCTGTTGGCAAAGGAAGTCTAGCTCATCCTTGAACAGTGGTAGCCAACTTAAACCACTAGGGTTCTATTTACACTTTTCCTTTTAGTTGATTCCTTGTTACAATGATGTTTTCCCATCATTTTCCCCAGTGACTTCAGTTTATTAGGTAACTATTTATTCATTTAGTGAGGTAGGTAGTTCTGGTTAAAAGCAATGAGATGCCTTTTCTATACCCGGTGTGCACCTTTGGTGAGTCATCAGTGCTCTGGACATAATCATGATGCCCTTTGAAGACCCCAGATCAGGGACAACTGTGAGAGATCAGACTGATGTATAGAAACTGTTTCATTGCCCCTACATACAACATTTCAAACAGACAGCCTGTTGCCTCCCCATGCCCTGGCCTGACAGTGTCAAAGAGGCCAGGCATGCATTGACAAACAGGAGATAACTGGAAGTGTGTGTGTTTGTGTGTACATGCGTTCGTGTGCACACATGTGCATGCAAATAGATGTTTGGCATAATGTAAGAACATTTCTCCTAAGAAAGTCAGATTGGTGGCTCCATGCAATGTAACTTGAGATATTAAAAATCTATAATGTGATCTCTATCTTCAGGATATTTATCCCCATGAATTGAATAAAGCACTTAGCTTTTTAATTTGTAACTTATCCCACAGTCACAACTAGTTTTAAAATTGGTCTTCTAGTCTCAAGTACATTCTCTAAATTTTACCATCCTTGTAGTGGAACAATTTTGATATTTGTTTAAAAATGAAGAAATTGTGAATCTCTTTGGGCCTGTTTTTATATTTCATCAAGTCTGTGCTCTTTCCTTTACAACAACTTCATTCTGTCTACTGCCACAGAGGGTTATTTGTTATAATTCTTTACTCTTTAATAATGGGTAATTAGTGTAGAAAAATCTAGTGCAGTTTGATGTGGAAGTTAAAGGCCTCAAGAGAATTCCTTAACCAATACACCTGCCTCTCAGCTGGTTTATCCCAGCTCAGTTTGGGGTTTAATGAAAAACATATTTTTGTTGTTATAGCTGAGTCTCCTATTCTTGACGCCACCCCTCATTAAGTGAGCCCCCCCTAGAGTGCCACTTGGAAAGTTATCTTTTGTTAGGTGAGAGACAGGGGACTTAACAAATGGCTGAAACATGCATTCTAGAACATCATAAGACAGGGCATGGCAAATCATTTCCAATTAAAGTGAGTTATTTTTGTTACACACACACACACACACACACACACACACACACACACACACACACACACAAGCATGCACACACTATTCCAGGTTTAGCCTTTGGAGACTATTAACGTAGAGGTGTAGAAACAGATTTTTGGGTGGGATTTGCAATTTGTATGAAAATACATATCTAAGTAAATATATCACTAAGACCCTTCCTGGGCATTGGGGTACACTGAAACTTAAGAGTGCCTAGTTTTAAGGTCTTTCAATCTCTGACTCATGGGGTAATGTAAAATTGTAACTAAAATATTAACGTCATTTGGAAAGGCACTTCACATCAGACTCAAATTAGTGCCTATTTATATGCTGGGCAGTAGGGGTAGGCACATATATGACAGAGCCATGAAAAGTATATTGTGCTTACCTGCTGGTGGAAGCATCTGAAGAAAGCATATTAAAGCAGGTCCCCACTTGCCAAGGTATCCTCATAGAGGAAGTTTGTATTGTCTGCAGTGGTATTCCAAAAGCTGTACACCTTATGCTCATTTTCTATTAATCAGGAGCAACAATTTGAATATGCTACTGCACAGACCTCTGATGATGGGCGTGGGAACATATTCAAAATCCGAGGGGAAAAGCCAACCCTATTACCCATAGCTGTGTTGATGTGGAAAGAGATCTCTAAACTTGAGTGCCAGTTAACAGACTATGTTAGGAGTTTAGTTATGATTGATACTTCATTGACAAGGAGGCTAGAGTAACTGTTTGGTTGATTAGATTTGCTTTGTTAAAATGTGCACTGAAATACTTTAAGATATATTGATTAAACATAGCATTTTCATGACCAGCATTTTCTAAAAATCACCATTTATGTCACAAGTAAGAGTAGAAAAGCAAAATGCCATGATTCTACAGAATAGCTTCCCAGAAAAGCAATTAACTGATTTTGTTCCAAGTTCACAGAAGATAAATGATGTAGGCTTCCTATTTCCTGTCACTCTTGGTTACCTTTGTATGAAAATGGATTTCTTCCAAATTAAAGTCGGCACCAGCCTGTCGGGCAAAAAGGCATCTGCAAAAACAGAGTGTATATTACATATTCACGCCAGTCGGAATTTCTTAATTACAATTGAGATGTATAATGTTTTCAAATCAAAGTATGCTGTCAGATTATTCCTTAAAGAAATGAGGGGTCTATGTGGAGCCAGGAGACTCAGTTTCACTAACTGTTGTCGTCTCATTCTTCCTATCATTCTCCTCTACTCTCCATTCCCCATGACAGGGAAGGCAGGTCCTGTGGGACAGAGTGGCTTAGCAACAGCACTGTGTATAACACACCTCCTGTCCACAGTATAGATGTGCACAGCCTCCTCCCTCTGAGAGCATCCACACCACGCGTGTGCACAGCCTCCTCCCTCTGAGAGCATCCACACCACGTGTGTGCACAGCCTCCTCCCTCTGAGAGCATCCACACCACGCGTGTGCTCAGCCTCCTCCCTCTGAGAGCATCCACACCACACGTGTGCACAGCCTCCTCCCTCTGAGAGCATCCACACCACGCGTGTGCTCAGCCTCCTCCCTCTGAGAACATCAGACCTTCCTTGTCCTGAAGAGGTTCAGAAGGGCAAGAGTCAAATACTCATCCCGCATGCGTCATGAAAGCATGTCATGCCTTCCTTGTTCCATCTGGGTCATTCTGAAGGTCATAATGGAGGCTAGCACATGGAAACACTTCTACTTTTTAGTCCTTTTATGTTTAGCCGGTGGATCCTAAAAGGTAAGACACTTAACTAAAAATGACTTCGGTTTCTTTAATTCTTGATTGAAAAATGTCTATTAAAATAGGTCCCCTGTATGAAGGTGTCCTTCCTGTTCCCTTGCCTCCTGGGGACCCTTCAGATTGATATTAGAAAGCTATGTTTTCTAGCTTTAAGGTGGGAAACCACTTCTGAGGGTAGAGGCCTGAGGATAGGCCCCTCAGGAGGTT